GGGGGGGGGGGGGGGGGGGGGGGGGGGGGGGGGGTGAACGGGTCGTTCCCCACACGTCATGCGCTGCACGGGATCGGTCGGGCACGTGCGCTTGCAAGTACGATGTCAACTCAACCTATGGCTATCTTTTTGGGCAAACGTCGACTCATAGATTAACATTGTGGATAGACAGTAGTGTTGTTTTCCCCCCCGCCACCCCGCCCCCCTCTCAGCAAAAAAAGACGAAGAGTTTGACACGATGTTGCGGTTCGATTCATGGCTAGTGGTTGAAGCCTTGAAGGTGTCTTTGGCAGGCCAGAGTGTGCTGTAACCACCCCTACTTTCAGGGTGCATGCAAGTTGTCTGAAGAATTGTGATTTATTCCTGGTTATATCTTGTTGGAGTCAATGGTGGCATAAATGCCAGTGCATTGCACGAGGGACATTCATCTCCTCCTGTGAGTGGTGGAGGTGCCTGGGTTCGGGCATCCCTTTTTCTGCCTGTGCCAGCTCATCCCCCCTCGTTTGATTGGTCCACAACTTGCAATGACCGCTTTCTTCTTGCATGGCCGATACAGGATAAGGAGAAGGAGATTGGGGAACAGAAGTTTCGAAAAAGGGAGTCTCCCACAAATTGCTGCAATGGGTCAGACAGTTGAACATGGCTGTAACATAACTTCAGGAAAAGGGAGACTGGGGGCCAGACACTTGAACATGCTGGCCAGTGGCCAGCAGATTGTACAGGAGCGGTTGTGGGGACCAGCCAGTCGATGAAGCTGATGCGGGGCTGGTCACCACATTGTCTTGTCAAATTTAAGTGAACGGTTGGAATCAAACCGACCTTAGAGAAGTGGGTGAGCTTGAAATGTAGGTATAAGGTAAAGGAGAACGGTTCGGTTTGTTCGGTTTGTTCCCACTGACACTCAACTCACCCCACACAAACACATAGACGCACAGTCTACAACACACAAAGACACACGGTAAGAAGGGAGCTGCAGGAACAAACAGAAGGGGTACCGCGAAGAAAGCCGAAGTCAAGAAAGGGATATAACGGGGATCTATTCTGCTCCATGTTGCTTGCTATGGAGGTAAAACTGGCCGGTGGTAGGAATCGCTCATCTCAAGTGTGCTTCGTTGTCTGCAATGGACGTAAAGCTGCTTCGACTTTGGATCTACTCATCTGGGTGGAACAGGGGCTGTTGTGGTGAACACCTACAACACACACACACACACACACACACACACACACACACAGAGAGAGAGAGAGAGAGAGAGAGAGAGAGAGGGAGAGAGAGGAAATAGGATTGAGATGAACTGTCATGAGTAGAGTTTGCAGAATGGGTTTTGTAACTTGTGGTTGGCACGATCTTTGCTCAGTTATTTTACTGAGTTTGCCATTTCGTATCCCTGTTTGCCTCTTTGCACTGCCTGGGGCTTGGCATTTTTCAGATTCCAAGTCACGATGGCAGTTCATTAGAGGGCGCGTTCGGTTAGTATATCCAAGTGAGCTCGGTGGTGGAGGTAGAAGGTCTGTAGCGCGTGTACTTCCGGGCTTGATGATGTAGTCACGCTGTAAGAAGTAAAACCAACTACATTCATTTTGGAGTTCTCTCTTGGTGATGGAGAACCAGAGGGGACGCTAAGAAGTCTGCTAGCCATTTGATTATGTGGAGTTGATGATAAGGAGTGTGGTAGCCGTTTGATTATGTGTGGAGTTGATGATAAGAAGTCTGCTCGTTTGAGTATGTGGATTTGATGATAAGAAGTTTTTGCTTAATTGCCGTCGAGAGTGCAGAGAGGGACGGACAGAGTTTGAAGGGTTCTGTATGTAGATAGAGGGATGGGACGCCTGCTGTCAGTGGGGCTTGACTTACGTGGATTTGAGTATATTGATGCATTCAAAGGGGACTGATTTTGTAGGAGAACAGGTATGGTGAGGCATTGTTTGGTGCTTCCAAGGGGGAGTTTCTATGCGAATGACCGGGAAGCATGGAAATTAATGGGGGTTGGCGAATGCTCAATGGAGAGTCTGACGTGGAATGCCTTTTTCGGTTTAACTCACGTTGGTGTGTACAGCAGAGGGATTTTTTATGGAATAAAACAGCTACTAGAGGACACAAGGAGGCTCTGAAAAACCCATGCTGGCAAAAATGTTGATGCTGGGCAGCTTCTATGAACTCATCCCTCTTCCACAGAAGGTCCATTAAAGGAACTAACCTCCAAAATCTTGAGCTTTCATGAACCGTCTCTCAAATCCCTCCCTTTTCCCAGATGGTCCCAAGGGGAGACGTAGTTTGGCTCAAGCCCGAAGATTAAACTTGTGTAGTTTCAATTCCACTTGTTGCAAGTCATGGAGTGGAACCTGTAGCTTGGTTTCAACCACCGGGCGGATTCTTCGTGATCATGTGTGTGTGTGTGTGTGTGTGTGTGTGTGTGTGTGTGTTGTCATGTTCTCTATACACAACCCCACAAAAAAGAAAGCATGACTGTGCCAGACTGAGAGACTGTTAACGGAGGCCCCAGTTTTCAGACCACTTGTCAGGCCATTTCTAACAAAACCCAAGGGTCATTTTAACCAAACTTGGCACCAATTCATAGAGTGGAGATCATATTAACTACTTACAAAAACAAAATTGAAAAAAAAAAGTTTAAAAATCTATAAAACAGCAAGGCAAAAATGTGTTTTCATGCAAAATTCACTCGTTTCAGTTTTCAGGATGACTCTGTTGTCAGACTTCCACTGCTGATCAGAAGTTGAACCGTATACACGACCGTCTGCCGAGGACGCTTTTGACGGATGGATAAGGACTCAGCACGTCTCCGGAGTTAGCCATACCCCTGAGAAAAGTGGTAGACTTCACTCGCTCGTGTGTGTGTGGTGTGTGTGTGTGTGGAGGGGGGGGGGGTGAGTGCCTGTGTGAAGATGTGTGTGGAAGACATGCTAAGTACACACCGTCGGATCCTTTGTACACACGTCTGGAATTCAACAGTTTCACGTCTGGAAGACATGCTAAGCGACGCACAGCATTCGGGGGGGCATCGACGGGGTGAGTGCCTGTGTGAAGATGTGTGGAATTCAACAGTTTCATTGGCCAAGGCATCAGCACACCGTCGGATCCTTTGTAAATCAGAATTATTTTATTGTGGTCGCGGCTGGATTTGAACACACGTCTGGAATTCAACAGTTTCATGTGTGCATTGACTGAGCAGCCTGACAATGTGCAAAATGAGAAGGAATTTTCCGCAAGAACATAGGAAGATGCACCGCGATGGACATTGAAAAGAAATTCCGGTGTGAGTATGGACTAAGGAGCTGTCAGATGCAAATGTTGCACACACACACACACACACACACACACACCTGTCTCTTATACACATCTAGATGTGTATAAGAGACAGGGGATCATTCCACCTTGTCTGAAATGACTGTAGTG